CATTCCTATTCTTTCATTGCCGTACTCAAGGATATTTTCAGGGTCCAATAGCCAAAAGACCTCACGACACAAGCCTTTGTTCAAATTTAGATGATGCAGAACGATTTCGTCGCGAGGTTTGATCACAGTCCTACTCGTTATATACTTTAGCACGGTAATCTAATCTACGTTCAGATTACGAAGGAGATCGCGAAGAAAATAGCACTCATTCAAAATCCTGGTCTTGGAGAGTTCAAGATACGCGACTTAAACGATGAAATTAACAAAATGATTAGGATTAAATTCGCATGGGAAATACGTATACGAGAACTAGGAGGAATGGACTACAGGTTAGGAATTTTTTTCATGAGATCTTGTACGATTCTACTGCACGTATTTTTTTAAATTGAGCCAGTATGGTGTTGTGGCAGTGGCGCCGCTCACCACATCATAGTCCGATGTCAAAACTCCATTCGAGTCTTTCCTATACCGTTCAACCCTTCCATCCTTTCCGGGTCGCTTTGTCGATATCGGCCTATCTGAAGGTGAAATGACAGAAATCTGACTTTTATCAGGTCGTTTTTGAAATGGCAGCGATTTTGTATAGGGGCGAGAAGCGTGACGTGCTTTGTAATAGTTCATACTTGCAACTCAACGTTTCGAGCGAAAAGACAGCATAGGTAACGATCGGCACTGGTCGCTAGCGTTTTCAGAGAAATCGCCTTTTTGAGCAAGTCGGCACTGAGGGCGCCGAACGACACCTATACTATCATTTTCGCTAGAACGCTGATTCGCTCAAATGCTGATTCTGCCTGAACGCCAAATCGATACCACACTTTCTCACTGAAAAATCCGACTCGCTCGAGAGGCGCTCAAAACGCCGATTCCTCTTGAAACGCCGAGTTACAAAGTGTGAAGCTGTTTTCCATAATGAAGTTACCTATCTATTCATTATTCTGGCCAGTAGTGAGCTGCCAAAAATAGTGTTTAACGTCAAAGAATTTGGTCTGGAAGGACAATAGTGCCGCTTGGTTTGGCCCGAATAATAGTGAACGATTTAGGAAAATGTCATCGCGAGAGCTTGATAAAGAGGGAAGGGAAGTTGCGTCAAACCGCGGCTACAAGTATTTCGGTGCAGCCAAGGATTTACCTGGTGTCCGGGAATTGTTCGAGGAGTCTAAAGAACTAGAGGTTTCCTCGATTTTTTTTCTCGTAAAGCTACTTTACTTTCATGCTCCTCAGCGTGATGGCGAATATATTTAAGCAAATGCGAAAGACTCGAGCCGAGTTGATGAAGAATGTTGATGCGGATTATTATGGTTACCTGGATGATGATGACGGACTCTTGATACCTTTGGAGCAAGAGGAAGAGAAAAAGGCGATTGCACAGGCTGAAAAGGTTGGTGGATTCAAAACTTCGCTATTTTTATCTTGTGACTAGTTTAGCACTTTTTCAGTATTTTGCTGAGCATGGCGCTGAACGTTTTCAAAAAGATTTCGGAGACGATATGGAGGAAGACATCTATAAAATTGAAGATGTACGTATTTCATTTTTCATTTAAGAATCAATCAGTCAACTTGCAGCGATGCCCTCAGTGGTACCGCATTAACAGAACCGAAGCTGAAGTGGGGGACGTAAGACTTCGGACGCTAAAGTGAAAGCTATAGGGTTTGGTACTTCCTTAAAGCGTGCTGAGGGCACGAAGGCGATGCTGAGCTGTATCTAACGTTCCTCCTTTTTTCCGATTTTTTTCGATGTTCAGGATAAGTTTTCATCGGAATTTCGGGGCAGTTCGGCGACGGGGGAGGGGCATTTTGCACTTCGCTACTTCCCATCGACGTGTCGACCCATCTAGACAGCCTTTTCTTGAGTTGACAGGTTTTACCATGATGGCTTGACGAGCTTGCTCCAGCTTCACAAGAGTTCACAGTTTCACCAGAGTGAGGCTTGTAAACCGGAAGTGAAGGTAGTATAGAAGGTGGTATAGTGAAGGTGTGAAAATGAAAAATGCCCCCCTCCCGTCGCGGAAGTGCGCCAGATCTTTTCTACGAGAAGATTCGGCTAGAAGTTTTTGGTCCTTTAGAGAAAGGCGGTTCATGCAAGGATACCATCCCCGTTCGCGATGGCGCCTGGTGTTGGCTGTACGAACGCGGCCCCAAATTTTCTGAAAATATGAAACAACCTGCTTTCATGGTTTATTATGGTGACAAGACTTCTTACAAACGTATACCATGTTGTTTTCTAGAGGTCAAATTACCCTGTACGGCAAATTCCTAACATGTTTGTGGTTCTGTTCAAACCAAATCTTCGAAAGAGTAAAAGGATAAACGAATAAATTTTTGCCGTTGATCAGGTCTTACTTGGGATGCGGCACGAATTCTGCTTCGTCTCAGAATCGTAGTGGCTTATTGAAT